TGTTTGCTGAGCGTGCCGCGTCTTCCGTTCTGCTCACTACGCTTCGGCGCGACTCGCTGACCACATCCTGGCCCCCAAGCGTCAGCGCCCCGAGCTTCTCCCAGCCTCCCCGTCCCACGAGGCAGAGCGACACGCCTTCAGCCTGCAAGGCGCAGCGAGTCGCAGGGGCCGCCTCCGCGACGCATCAAGCAAGAGCTCCCCGACCGTAGGCGAGTTGTCGGAGGTCCGATTGGCGCGGGCGGCGTGGGCCTCTCAGCGCTCCTCCGCCCGCCGGCGAGGTCGACCAGGTGCCCGACTGGATCTCCGGGATTGCCGCCTTGCAGGCAGGGCGGGGCGGCCAGGGCAGGCTTCGACTCGGTAGGGGAGGGGGCGGAGGGGGGGAGGCGACGGAGGAGGCGGAGGAGGGGAGGGGGGAGAGAACGGCTTCGTCTATTAGACATCGAGCCGCGAGCGAAGCGAAGAAGGAGGGGGGAGAGAGGTGGCAGTTGGAAGGGAGGATTTGGGAGGAAGAGGGGAGGGGGGCGGGGGCACTGGCCGCAGAGAACGAGGGAAGGGTTAGCGGAGGACGGTGGCAGGCCAGACGGAGGTGGAAAGGAGGAGGAGGAGGAACATGATGAAGTACAGTCAGGAGGGAAAAAAACACACAGACACAATTAATCCTCGACTCCCAGGAAAATATGGGAAAATATGGGAAGTGGTGGGGAAGACAAAAACCCAGAAAATATGGGGAAATATGGGGGATATTTTTATTTGTGTGTATTTATTTGTGTGTTCCAGTTCCCCTTCAGAGGAGGAGGAACATGATGAAGTACAGGAGGAGGACGAGGAGGAATCGTTGTCGGCCGACATGGGCCGACAGCAGGGCGATACCCTTGGATCAACTGTTGGATCTAATAGGTCAGAGTTGCCCAGCGTCGAGCGGTGCATATCGATCATCGTGGCGCGGACAGGAATGCAACTCAGCAAGTGAACAAGTCCGTGGGCAAGTAGGGAGGAGGAGACGGAGGAGGAGGAGGAGGAGGAGGAGGAGGAGGAGGAAGAGACGGAGGAGGAGGAGGAGGAGGAGGAGGAGGAGGAGGAGGAGGAGGGAGATGGAGGAGAGGAGGAGGAGGAGAGGAGGAGGAGGAGGAGGAGGAGGAGGAGGAACATGAGGAATACCAGAAGGAGAACAAGAAATAATCGTTGTCGACACAGCTGGGGCGACAGCAGGGCCATACCCGCAGACGAAATGCTGGCTCAAGTAGGTCAGAGTTGCCCAGCGTCGAGCAGTGCACATCGATTATCGCGGCTCGACTAGGAATGCATCTCGGCAGGAGAAGAAGTGAGTGAGCAAGTAGGGAGACGTAGGACAAGGAGGAGGAGGAGGAGGAGGAGGGACAGGAGGATGATCAGAAGGAGGACACGGAGGAACCGTTGTCGGCCTAGCTGGTCCGAAAGCAGGACCATACCCTCGGATCAACTGTTGGCTCTAATAGGTCAGAGTTGCCCAGCGTCGAGCAGTGTATATCGATCATCGCGGCGCGAACAGGAATGCAATTCAGTAGGTAATCCATCGGTCGATAAGTGAGGGAGCAAGCAGGGAGAAGGAGGATGAGGAGGAGTGGGGAGGGGGAGAGAGAGAGAGAGAGAGAGAGAGAGAGAAAGAGAGAGGATAATAAAGAAAGAGAAAGATAACGATAATGATAAAGCGAACGAGAAAGGGGTAGGGTGGGGGAGGAGAGGAGGGGGAGGAGGAGCTCACGGCGCTGAGGACGGAGCCTAGGCCCAGGATGCGCTCCCTATCAGGGATGGGGGAGAGAGCGGGGGCGGAGGGAGTCGAACGGAGCGGACCGATTGCAACCGCGAGGAGGCGTGATCCGAACAGCAGACCCGACGGTGGGCGGACAAAAAGCTTCCACACTTGTCGCGCCAAGACAACTCGTCGTCAAATCACGTCGAGCGAATATGTATACCCCCGTCTCCCCCAACTCAAAGTTGGCGGGGTTAGGCGGCAGGCCGCGCGCCAGGGACAAAATGTGGACACTTCAACTTTGGGTTTTGGGGGGGAGGGGTGCGAGGCAAGTGCATTATCACGTCGCAGAGTCTTGCCGCCCTGGGTGTGGACACTTTTTGTCCGGGCACCGGAGCACGCTGCCCCTGGGGGTCGCAGCATGAAGTGGCTGCAGGTACCAGGGCCAAAGCCGTTCACGGTTCTGGACGAGTCGCCGGCGGAGCGGCTTGGGTCGCGGGGCAATCCCGCTTCGCACCCGCAGCCCATAGCCAGCGTCATTTCGCCAGCTGGGGTCGTGTGAGCCACGCGACCCTGGCTTGGAGCCAACTGAGGGTCTGAGGGTGCCCGGCACGGTTCCGGCCAGCAGGAGGTCACCACCCACCAAACCACCCCAACCCAACCCGAAGGCTCAGATTTACCCTCGATTTCTAGTGGGGGGGGTCGGGAAACATCGAAAAAACACATGTGGAACCCTTACCCCCCCCAACCCGAAATTCGGGTCTTCGGGTTGGGTTGGGGTGGCCTGGTAGGTAGTCAGGAGGGGGGACACGATTCGAAACACGTGTTCTGTGCCTTTTTCGGCCCGCAGGGCCGATTTCGAGCTCTGGGGCCGTCATCGGTGAATCTGGGGTGTAACACTGCACCAGATGAAACCCCGGGGAGAGTCCGGGGACCGATCTTGAGCGGACTTGCCCTCCCTCCCCTCTCTCGACAGATCTTCGCCGAGCCCATCCCGCTCGGGCCCCCCAGGTCCCTCCAGGCCCTGGCTGGCAAAGCGGTGCGGGCTACAGTCGGGGCCCTGACGAAGGAAGCCTTTTCGTTGGGGAGGGGCTCGGTGTTCCTTGATTGTTCTGCAGTTTGCCTTCGGTTTTCCTGAGGTTTCCCATGGGAAATCGGAGTTCAACTTATGGGAGAAAGGGGCCTCGTTCCTTATTTGGAGTTCCTCTGGTCAACGCCCCCACTGTACGGGCTTGGGCTGCGGGGCACGGCCGCAGCGGTCGCGCCCCGCAGCCCAGGCTCGGGCCCCGCTGGGAGCCCCGAGGGGAGGAGCCGAGGCTGCCTCCCGTGGCCGCTCTGGCTCGAGAGAGGGGTGGCCGGCAGGACTGGGAGGGGTGCGGTTCCTCAGAGCGGGCGCCGCTGCCGAGCCCTCAGTCGGGCATGTCCTTCTACAGGAGGAATATCCAAAATTATGCTTTTAAATTGGTCTGGGGACGTTTTTGTTCGTTTTGTTTTTTTTTTTTTATAGAAAAAGTAAGAATAAACATTTGAACAACAAGTATTGGTTCCCTAATTTTCATGTTGAAATACTAGTTTGATTGTCTTTTGTAACGTCGTCCCAAATTCGCCTGTAGGAGGACATGCCCGACCTAAGCCGAGCCTGCAGTCGGCCATGCGCGCAAGGCCAGCGCTGGTGCAATGCATCGGCCGCAGGCTGCAGGAGGGGCTCGCACAGGTGGCGCCGAGGAGGTTGGGGCCAGACGGCGAGATCGATGCCTGGACTCTCTCATTCGTTGATCCGGAGGTGGAGAAGGGCTTCCTGGACAGGAGCCGCGAGCAGCTGCGGTCGTCCTTCTGTCTTGTCCTGGTCATCTTCTCCTTCTTCAGCGGGCTGGCTCTCCTGCAGATCCACACGGAGGATATCGACTACCCGACGCAGGAAGCATATAGCATGAGGCGGTGGCAGTTCGCCATCCAACTCGCGTGTGGCACCGTAGAGTTGTCAGCGTTACTTGCAGCAGTCGTTTTGTCAGGCTACGGCCTTATAGGCACATGGGGAATGGAGTGTGCAGCGCTTGTCACTGCAATAGTGTCTCACGCTCACGCTTGCTTAAACAGCTGTCACTACTTTGCACGGGCATTCGGCTGCGAAGATCCAAGTGAAGTTTGGGGGATGGACCTTGCTGGTTCAGACGCTCCCTTTTTGTTGGGGCTCGCTCTGGTTGTCGCATCGGCAGGTATCATAATCAGATGGAAGTCGTTAGTGTTCCTTGCAGTCTCCTCCGTGTTCGGATACGTTGCTGCCGCCTACCTCCTGGGTAGCCCAGATATGAGGTTGGTATTGACTAACCTGCTTTTGTTCGCCTATCTGTTGCTTTTGACCTGCACCGGGAAGCGGAGTTTCGAGTTTCAGGCCCGCCTCAATCACCTGTCGTACCTGAGGGAGAAGCAGATGCGCTTCCGGGCAGAGTTCTCGTTGGCCTGCATGCAGGACCGTGGGGACACCACCGTGGAGTTAGGAAGCCACGCGGGAGGCTCGTCGTACTTCCGGCAGTTCTTGGATGACGTGCACCCCGACGGCGGCGAGCTGCACGAGGGGGGCTCGCAGTGCTCGCTGCCCGCTGTCCCAAGCGCGCCAACATGGTTCAGTCCAGCCGCCGCGGAGTGCGTGCCAAATGCTGGTGACGTCAGCGACGAGTCCGTTCACCAGCGCCCGGTTTGCCTGCCGTCGAGCGCCAGCGTGTGGGTCGAGGGCCGTGCCAGCGCATGCGCCCTGCGAGACCTCGAGCGGGGTCAGCGCGTGCTGTGCTACGACTCGCTGGGGCGGTCGCTCAGGTACGCCGAGGTACTCGAGAAGCGGGCCGACCTTCGGGCGGTCCCCTGCATCAGCGTCGGCCTGCACGACGGGACACGGCTGGCAATGGCGGCGGACCAGCCCGTGCGTTTGGCAAACCAGAGAGAGGTGGTCCGAGCTGAGGACCTGTCCCCAGGAAAGGACAGCGTGTTCTTGCACAGGTCGGGTGTTGCTAGAAGTGGTCCTGGCACGAGGTGTGCCCAGCTTTCTGTCATCTTGGAGCCCCCAGGGGCCCTCTGGGCCTCACGAGGGGTGCTCTGGAGGCCATGTCGGCCTCCCCGGGAGCCCTGGGCCAAGGGGGGGCCCCTCTGGCAACACCCGGAGAGGGCGGCGACCGTGCCCGTCGCGGTCAAGGAGGTGGTGCGGCAGGCAGAGGCGCGGGGTGCACGCGGGCGGATCCACCTAGTGGTACGGCACCCCGACCGTCTGCTTGTTCTGGTGGTCAAGGTCTCCCAAATTGGCTCCGCGTAGATGGGGTCAGGGGATCGCGCCGCATCGCCAGTGCACCGGCGATGCGGCTCGAAGTGGAGCCCGATTTTCTCCACGCCGACGTCGCCGATGCCCCGCCGGTGCACCTGCGATGCGTCCGTCGCCGATACATTGCCCAGGCATCGCCAGCGCGATCCTCCAAACTCATCTACTCGGACTCCATTTCGAAGGCTTCCAGTTTCGGCTGCACGTAAACCGTGATCCCAGTAAACCCAGAGAACCGATGTCGTGATTTTTTCAATACGGGATCCCCGGAAGTCTCGACCCATTCCCCAGAACCGTTTTTTCATCCCGAGTCGTTTTTTGACGGTCCCGAGGCCCGGCGAGAGCCCCTAGGGGCCGAAATTTGAAAAAAACTCGGTCTTGATTTTTTCAATACGATGGATCTCTGGGAAGAGGGGCCCCTCCCCGCGGTGGCCTCTGGTGCGCTGCTCGTGGGGGGCGCGGGAGGACCAAGCCCACGCGCACGGGCCGGCATGGTCGCACCGTGAGCAGCGGCCGGCGAGCCGCGCACCAGAGGCCATTCTCGTCTGGGGTCACCGAGCGCGTTCCACTGCTCGCAAAGTACCTACTCCTCCTCCTCCTCCTCCTCCTCCCTCCTCCCTTCTCCCTCCTCCCTCCTCCTTCTGGCTCAAGTCCGAGGCCTCTGGGGGCCGAGGACGCGCAGCATTTCACTCCTGGTCAGGTCCAGGAGCTTGGGGCTCGAACTTTTCGGGCCGCTGTGTTGCCGCCTCCTTGCATGCGAAGCGATGGCGAGTCTGCAAGTGCGCGCCTCGAGCTCACCCTACCCGTCGGTTGCGAGATTGAGTTCAGGTGTGTGGTCAGGCCTTGCGGAGCCGCCGCCTATCCATCCTCCACCTGGCGATCTGCGTGCGCTGCGCCCACCCACGGCATGGCTGGGAGCACGGAGTTCGCTGACGGACGTTTTGCGCCAGAAGGTGACAGTTACGTCTCACTTGTACCAGTCCCTGCTGTGGCCGTCCTCCACCTACGCCACGGACCAGCTGCAGGACCCCAAGGCCATGAGCATGGAGCCCAGCAAGGCCATGAGCGAGCAGCTGGACACCAAGCTGGAGTTCGAGCGGAAGGGGAAGAGCGGGCACGTGAAGGACAAGGACGGGATGAAAACGATCAAGCATCTGGACAAGAGGAGCGGCAGCAGCAGCGAGAAGGGCATCTCTGTGGGCAAGTTCGAGCAGAAGACCTACACGGCGGAGGACCTGCCACTGCCTGCGACCTGGGTGCCCAGCTTTCGGCCCCTGCCGCCGAAAGTGATTTGCAAGGGGGAGTTCAAGGGCCACGAGGAGGAGAAGGACTTGCTGGTCAGGCTGAAACAGTTGCTGAAGCTCCCGGTTCCGTCTCCGACTTCGAGGTTTTCCGACGCCCCATGGGTGAAGAGGCGCGCTACGATGGGAAGCAAGAGTCAGCGTACGTAGAGGACGACGAGGACGACAACTTCGCCAAGAGCGTGCCTTCCTTTTTCGACATCGCCGAAGGGGATCCTGATGCTTGTGACCTCCAGACCCAGCGCCTTCTTGTGAAGATGCAGGTGCTGGAGTTCTGCAGGCCGCTGGAGAGCAACAGGATCAAGTACGGGGCTTACAAAGTGAAGTTCTTAATTCATCTGACCAGGGTGATGGCCAGAGCGAGGCGAGCTTGGACGGGCACTTTTGTTACGACGATTCTTCGAAATTTGCTGGAGGATTGCGTGCCAATAGTACGAATTCGGCTTCAGCGAGCGGAGGGTCCTTTCGGGCGTCGGCTGACGACGTTCGCGGTGCGCTGAGAGACGTCATTGCCTTCATGAAGAACAAGTCCAAGATGGTGCCAGTGCGTCAGTGGAAGAGGCTTGAGGCGAGGTTCCGTGCCGCTTGGTGGCGCGCTTCGCCCGTTTTGCGGGAAGCTTATGTTGCTCTTGCGCGTGCTGGCGAAATGGACTTTCACGATCTCGTCGCCTGTTTCGAGGCCGGTGTAGAGCACGAGGTGTGTGCGGGTGCCTGTTCGAGCTGATGGTTTTCTTCTCTGGCTTCACCTTCGGCGGCGACTTCTGCTTCCTCTGGGGCGTCGCCGCTTTGCGTCGTAGTCGGCTTCGTGCACTTCTTCATTTTCATGCCGCTCGTCGCGTCAAGAATTTCAAAAGTAAGTAGGGGCCCGTGCTCCCCGCCATTTTCAGCCGCCCAGTCTTAACCTGCCTGCAGAGTTTGGCTTGGCGTCGCACACACTGAAAAAGCCCTCCTCCCTCCTCCCTCCTCCTCCTCCTCCTCCTCCCCCTCCTCCCCCTCCTCCTCCTCCTCCTCCTCCTCCTCCTCCGTAGCCATTTTGGCTCAAGGCTAAACGTAACGAAGGTTCGGGGAATCGAGGTGTTGCGATTAGCTTTGGACCCATCCGTAGCCTCCTGGCTCAGTGATCGGGGCGCCCCGCGCGCGGGCCGCCGCACGCCTGTGGCGTCTCTCGGCGTCAAGAAGCAGAAGAAGCTGAAGAAGGGCCCGAGGAAACGCGACCTCGATGGCGACAACAGTGACGCCTCAGGGACCACTTCTCAGCCTCCTGGTGGCGCTGGTGTTTCTGCTGCTCTCTCTGCAGATAATCTACCTGCCCCTGCTGATGGCGACCCTGCTCATGGCGCTCATGGTGAAGATGAAAATGAAGATTGGGGCTGGGAAGAAACTGGACCTGACGAGTACACTCGGTACCTGGCGAAGGAGGAGGCCACCAAGCTGCTCCGCGAATACAAGCAGACGATGCTGGACTCCATCGAATCCACAGTGGACGAGGCCATCAACCCCTTCGCCGAGCAGCTCTCCAAGCACGCTGAGTCCGCTGCTGAACTCGCCCAAGGTGTCAGCGACCTCCCCAAGATGGTTGACGATGCTGCTGCTAAGCGCTTGGATGGTCAGAATCGCCGCCTGCAGGAGCAGATCGACGGGATGCATATTCGGCTGCGTGCCCATGAGACCAGACTGGACACCCGCGACGCCGACATTTCCTTCCTCAAGGCCGAGATCAACAAGCTGCACGAGCTCCTCGCCGTCGCCAACGATGTCCCAAAGGCCCCGCTGCTCTCCGCCGCCGGCTTTGATCGTGACACCGACCCGCGTGTTATCAAAGTCGTTGCAGCCAAGCTCACGGCCCTCGGTCAGGTTCAGCAGACCCTCTCTGATTGGATCGCTGAGGTTGGTGTTGAGCCAAAATTCTTCAAGATCTCTTCCCCTGAAGCCGTCAGCCGCAGCTTCTCCATCAACTTCGTTGGTGCACCGGCCCCCGCTGCTCGTCGAGTTGCCAAGGTGCTCGGTGCCCAGCGCCTCGGGCCTGGCCAATGGAAGCGTTTCGAGACCACCGCAGCAGACGGACAGTCCACGGCTCTTCATATCGGCCCCGACAAGAATCCGCGTCAGATTCGCGCGGAGATGCAGGCTCGGAAAATTCGGGACGCCTTCAAAGAGATCGACTCCTCAAAGCGCTGGTATGTTGACAAGGACCGAGGCTATGTCATGGCTGGCTGGGACCCGGTTATCAAGATCAGCCCGAACCCTGGCAACGCCCCTCCACGCTCAACTGGGCCGACAATCTCATTGCCAAGCTTGGTCTGCCGAAGCAGCAGTTATCAGCAGCTGCTGCCGCCATCGTCGCACCGCCAGAATCGGCTGAGTGGTGTCTTTAATTTGCTGGGAAGATTGCTACGAGGTGAGTACCGAGGGCACGGTTTGGTTTCCTTTACTTCATGCAATGCGCGGGCGCTTCTTCAATGCCAGGGTGCTCACTCCAAGGTGAAGCTTGACTACCTCCGTCGATAGGACTTTTTTTCATGGGGTGGCTTGCCTTCAGGAGGTGCATCAAAATGCTGTGCAACTACGAGACTTTATCGGGAAAGCTCATCGTGGTGTGCGCATTTTCTCTTCCCACTGCGAGGAATCGCTAGTGAAAGGCGGGGTCGCCACAGTTTTGCCTGCCTCCTGTCCTGCAGTGGTTCATGCTGACGAACTTGTTCCAGGGCGCGTGCTCCGTCTTCATCTGCAGCACGAAGGGCACCATCTCTTCCACTACAATGTACACAACCATGGTATCAATAGCGCCCAATTCCTGGAGGTAGGCAAGGCGCGTGGGGCAGATGCCAGTTTTGCCAGAAGTGGCAGTACATGGGGACTTCAATGTTGCCGCTTCTTCTCCTCGTCTTCTCCGCCGCCCTGGTCGCCGGGGGGGCCCAGGTAAAGGCCAGCATGCTCAAGCCGCCAAATGGCCCAAGATATTGGCACCTCTCATGGAGTTCACGTCGGACAAACCTACTCATTATGACGCCAGCGCTCACTCGGTTTCTGCCTTAGATAGGCTCTGGGTCAGTCTCCCTGGTGTGATCGCATGCCAAATTCATGCCGTTCTCCGCGTGCTGGGGCTTCCCGAGACCTTAGCCGAGAAGGAGGTGAGTGACCACGCAGCCCAGTCGTGCTCTTTCTCGCAGCGATCCTCAAAGCCTGAGGAATATCGCAAGATCCCGAGGCGCATTTTCGAGTCCAAAGCGTTCCAGGACTTGCTGGATACCGTTACTCGCCAGCTAGATTTCACGCCCCGCTCACCTCCCAGGCAGATTGAACTCTTCAAGTGGGCAGTAAAGGAGGTTGCGCGCGAGATTCGTGATCGTCTTATGCAGCACGACTCCGAGTCACTGGGCTCTCAGCTCCTTCTAGCGAGGCAGATTTCTCGGGCGGTTTGGCGCAATGATGTTTCTGTCGCCGTTCGCCTCCGCGCTGCTCATCAGACGGCCAGAGACTTCGTGGACATCTCGTCGGGCACCGTCTTGCTAGTTCATGCTCCCTCTTTCCAGCAGTGGAGCGAAGCTGTGCAAGTGCGTCGCGCTGACCTCCAATGCCGTCACCTGGAGGCAGAGCTCGCGGGTGGACGGTCTACCCCTCAGTTCCGCCACCAACTGCAAGCTCTCGAGAGGCGTGCGGCTA